GCCACCAAGCCTGGCCTATATTACATTAAAAAGAAATTTTTTTTCGTCAATAATCAGTTCACCTTAGCTTACTGTAACTTGTATAAACTTTAAAATTTTTAACTTTTTGTCTCTATTGTAATGACACTTAAAACACAAAAACTTTGTACAGCTATAGAGAAATATTTTCTTTATATTCTTATTCTATAAGCTTTTCCCTACTTTTAAATTGTTTTATTACTTTTAAAACTTTTTTATTGAAAACTAAGACAAACACATATATTAGCTTAGACCTACAAAGAGTCAGGATCATCAATGTACTTTTATAAGAAGCAGTACCCTCTAAAATAATAATAAAAAGTATAGTAAATACATAAACCAGTACCAGAGTTTATTATAATTTTCAAGTGTTATGTACTGTACATAATTGCATGTGCTATACTTTTATACAACTGACAACAGCATCACCACAAACACATGGGTAATGTGTTGTGCTGCAACATGAAGATGGTTATGACACCACTAGGCAATAGGAATTTTTCAGGTCTATTATAATCTTATGGGACCACTGTTGCATATGAGGTCCATTGTTTACCAAAAGTTGATACACAGCACATGACCATACTTGCCTTTTGTTTTTTATAGTCTTTCAGCTGGCAAGTTTAATACCTGTAAGCTCACTGGAGGTATGATATATTCGTATAGATGTTGCTGTACTTAACAATGGTTTGATTTATGATTTTTTGACTTTATAAGGATGTGAAAGCAATATGTCTAAACTTGAACTGTAACTTGTATAAACTTTAAAATTTTTAACTTTTTGTCTCTATTGTAATAACACTTAAAACACAAACATTTTGTATAGCTATAGAGAAATATTTTCTTTATATCCTTATTCTGTAAGCTTTTCCCTACTTTTAAGTAGGGAAACAGTGGTCCCATAAGATTATAATAGACCTAAAAAATTCCTATTGCCTAGTGGTGTCATAGCCATCTTCATGTTGCAGCACAACACATTACTCATGTGTTTGTGGTGATGCTGTTGTCAGTTGTATAAAAGTATAGCACATACAATTATGTACACTACATAACACTTGAAACTTGTACTTGAAACATTTAGTATAAACCATACTTCAGATTTTGAATTTTAGTTCAAAAATTTTTATAACTTTAATTGTAAAACAGACATTGTGTTAGACTATTTCATATATATATATACGTATACATATAACCTACTATCATTTATTAAAAAGACCTTTCCCTATCATTCTGTAGTGCTACCTTTGTTGTAAATCCAATGTCCATATATGCATGGGTCTGTTTCTGAGCCGTCTGTGCTGTTCCTTTGATCTATTTATTCTTGCACTAGTACCACATTATTACTGTAACTTTATAATAAGTGTTCATATCTTAAACAAGTCTTGTCCCCTTGTTTTTCTTTGGTAAGAGTGTCTTCGCTTTTCTTTACATTTCCTCATCCCTTTTAATTCATCTTAGGGGCAACTAACTGATCCTAGAGTGTAGCTTTAACTTGATACACAGTTCATGCTAGTTTGTGGTACTTTAAATTAGACAACACTAGTGTCCCAACTCAGAGGAACATGCAGTTGTATCTTAGGGAGATCACTGGTGCCTGCAGCCAAGTAGCCTCTGAGAGACTGTGGACCAGATAGGATGAGATAAATCTGGTATGAGAAGCTAGTGAAGGCCAAGAAATTGACACCAAATTTCACCCTCCTGGATTTTAGCATCATTCCCAAGGAGGAGATGTAACCCAACTATTGTGAACTTAGTAATGTCTGTCTTGTTCACTGTTACATTGCTGTTCCTGGTATATAATGGGCATTCAATAAATATTTGTCAAATGAGTTTACATACATCTCCATACAGCCTATATTATATGCTTCTCAGATGACATTTATGTGGCTATGAGTTTCACTACCTTAGATGCTAGGATGCTTGAAGCTAATTTTTCCCCAGCTTTATTGAGGTATAATTAAAAATTAAACTAAATTTTTAATGGCCTGTGACATTTTGTCATTTCATGGAGTTGCCTTTCTGTTTAAAGTCTTATATGTATCACCTCGAGTCTTTTAGGAAATAAGTGATATAGATTTTATGTTGAAATAAGTTATTACCTGTCAGTGATTTTAAAAGTTTGTTGACTTTCTACATCCCTAAGTGGAATTAACTCGCAAGTTCCTTAGCACACTAAGTTCATATATAAAATTCAATCAAGATCATATCTAGATTTTCATATTTCAAAATACTCAATTTTTTAGTAGAGAAACTGCCAAGTTATCCTATATTTTTCCATTGTGATTTTACTTTCCTTCTTGAAAAGATGAATACAGTTGATGAAACTTTAAAAAATATAGCACATGTTGAGTAGTTTTCTGCCCTAAGTATTAAAATTCTATGTTTTTTAATGCAGATGTGGAATTAGAAGAAGCTATTAGAAGAAGTCTTGAGGAAATGTAATTAAAGATATTACCACACAACATCAAGTGGCCTTGAAGAGACTCAGATAATGAATTCTTGAGTTTGTTTTCTAAAGGAGACCAGAAATCCACTATTACAAATGTATTTGAAAACATGGTTTTGCTTTCATATGTTCAAAATTTGATCTTTGTTTTGTATTTTTGTGTTAATGTGCAAACATGTACAGAAGGAATAGAATACATGTTCATGCAAATATAAATCATGTATTCTAATATAGGTATAACAGTTTCCCATTTAACTTTGAATTTATATATTTAGATTTAAAGGATTTAAAAAAAAAAAAGGAAAGCTCTTAATAGTTGTTTCCCAAATAGCATTAGTTCTTTAATTTTATTTGTACTGTACAAATGATTCTAGTTTATTTTTTTAGGAGTGAAAATGAATATAAAAAAGGTGACATAGGTCAAGTTTTCCATAAATTCTACTTCTCATGTGGCACTATTATATATTACCTTTGAGATCTTTGTTTATGTTTATTAGAAGAGGGTAATGGAAACTGATCATGGAAACACTTAAAATTTTATCAGCAGTGTTCTTTGTGGGTGCCATGCAGATGTGAATTATTGCTTTAATTAGAGCAGCACATTGCTAAAATAAAAAATACACCTTAATTTTTAAGAAATAATTTAAATGAAACAATTTCCATTCCTTTTACCTGCTTAGACTTTTATGTGACTTGTATGATCTCCTGTTTAAAGGGAATGGTGTCAAAATATTTGCATAAAATTATTTTTCATAATACTAGTCCTTTTTTATATATTTGTGTAAACATAATATCTTCAAGAAATAATGTTGAAAGCCTACTCAGGAATAATCTTCCTTAACTCTTTAAAATTTTTATTTCATATAGAGTGTCTTCAGTTTAGTTATTCACTGAATTGTCAGTTTCCTTCATTTGGTGTTACATATTTAATTCTTAAATATTGAGGCCCCATTGTGAGTAATACAAAATACGACATAAGTAGAAGACTAAGAAGGGCTTGTCATATGATCTTTGTGTATATGCTTCATGTTATTTGACCAGAAATGTCTTGTCTTTAAAAATTTTTAGTAGTAATTATTTACCAAACTTAAAAACATTTCCATAAATATAAAGCTTTCCTTTATATTTAAGACAAAATATAAAGGCTAGAATTTTGTTCCTTCTCTGTAACACTAAATATTTTAGTGTGAAAGTGAATTTTTTTATTACTATAGTCTTTTCAATCTACAAGTTGTGTTTTTAATTTCTTGATATGTCACTTCTGTTCCTCCCTGCTTGCATTTTTTTAAAAGTAGACATTGTGGCTTGAGAATTTATCAATCATCTTTCCAAAATGACCACATTGTGCTTTTAGTTTGTATGTTTAAGTGGTCAAGCAAGGCTCTAGGAGATAGTCACTGAGCTGGACCTTAAACACATCTGCGGGAGCTCACAAAATAGTGAGGAGCAAAAGAGGCATTCCAGAAAGATGAGTGGTTAAGCAGATGTGGGGGCAGGGCAAGAGGAGACAGCTCCTTGTTGCCAGAGATTCTACACAAAGGTGTCATGGACACTGATGCTCTATTAAGAAGCTTTTGTGGTGTGTGTGGTAGAGAATAAGGCTTTTGATATAACAGGAAAGGGATATTTCATCATGACTCTTAAGAAAAGGTAACTGGGTTGTTTAATGTTTTAATTGATAATTGTCACTGATTGTATTTCTACCTGTTAAATAATTAAAAATCATCTTAAAATTCATACTTTGGCTTTAATTTAGACAAAAGGAGATGTAATCGCTGTGTAACATTAGAGAAAGTTATGGATTATCATCAAAAGTAAATGTTTCTAACATTGACAAAGATGCCTATCTTTTCATTACATCATTCACTCATTAATTCATTCAGTCACAAAATATTTATTGAGTACCAATCATGTGCCAGCAACTATTCTAAGCACTTGGAATATACCAGTAAGCAAAACAAAGCCCTTTACCCCTCTGTGGAGCACACATTGGTGGAGAGAAGGAGATTGTACAATGTTAGTAAGCAAGCAAATAAAACTGCATATCTGATGGTGATACATGTAACGAAGGAAAATGAAGGGAAGGGAATAAATAGTGCAGGGACAGGGAGTTGCAGGGAGGCTTGCTATTTTTAATAGGGTGGTCAGAAAAGATCTCACTGATAGGTAAACTTGAGCAAAAACCTGAAGAAGGTGAGGGAATGAGGATGAAAATATATATAGGGAAGAGAGTTCCAGGTGGAGGAGGGGAAGGTCCAGACAGGAGCTTAGTATATTCAAGGAAAAGCAGGAAGACTAGTATCACTGAGAGGATGAGCTAAGAGAGTAATAGGAAATGAACTTGAGGTTTTTCTAATGACCTTGGCTTTTACTCCGAGGTAAGGAGCGATTGAACGTTTCTGAGAATAAATGGTATGATCTGCCTAATTTAGGATTGCTGTAGTTGCTGCACTGAGATAACATGTACATGAGAGGCAAGAGTAGAAGCACGGAGACCAGAGAGGAAGGTATTGTAGTACTTCAGGTACTAACTTACCAAGTAGCATGAACCAGAATGGTGGCGGTAGAATTGGGAAGAATCTGGATATATTCTGAAGGTAAAATTAATGGGATTTACTAATGAGGTGGATCTAGGATATGAGAGAAAAAGAGTTCAGGATGATTCTAAAGTCACTTGATAGACTTTCAAACCACTCACAAAATGTGTTTTGTTTTCGTTTGTGTCATGATAAAGTATTTTTAATAAGGTCAAATAATCCCCTACCCCAAGAGTTAATTAGGATTTAGAATGAGTTCAGAGGGAATTGGGATCCAGCCTTAAGGACTTCAACTCTGTTCAAGTATTTAAATGACTTTGATCTCTGATTAAAGGTGCTGGTTCAGCTTTAGACTATTATTATCTATCATTTTCTGTGCCGTGTACATTTTCATCCTTGCAGTGAGAGGCATAGAGCTATCAGGAGAGGGGACCAAAACCTAACTTTTTAAGTAGACTAATCTTTGTATCCTCAGCTCTATTCCATCTTTTACCGACAGCTGGTGCCTGACCTAGAGGCCTACTGCATCTTTTTGTTAACATAAAAAGTTGGCCTGGCGCGGTGGCTCAAGCCTGTAATCCCAGCACTTTGGGAGGCCGAGACCGGTGGATCACGAGGTCAGGAGATCGAGACCATCCTGGCTAACACGGTGAAACCCCGTCTCTACTAAAAAATACAAAAAACTAGCCGGGCGTGGTGGCGG